TACTTTTGCTCAGCATATTACTTTTCCTTGGTGCAGATGAGTTTATAAGCGAAAGCATCGCCTTGTACAGTGTGCCATTCATCGAAAGATTCGCCCTCGAATCGTATTTCAGGAGAAATGCTAAGAATTTTTGTCGGAACAAATTTTTTGAGGAAATTGTTGCTGGCGATAAGATTGCTCACTTTTGCAGGATAATTTCGATTCCACGATCAGTAAGCACGAATTTATCCTGGTCGAATTCTATGCACCATGGTGTGGACACTGCAAGGCGCTGCAACCGGAATATGCGAAAGCGGCGAAACTGCTGGAGAAGGAGGGAAGCGAAATAAAACTTGCAAAATGCGATGCCACCGTTCATGCCAAACTTGCTACCAAATTCAATGTAAGTTATTTCTGTATGCAGTGCTTTTTGAGGTAAGCTCAGCTTGAGACGCAACTGTTAAAACTCGGCTGGACTCGGCATCGCTGGAGCGAGGTCACTCTGACTGCAAAGAACGACTAAGATTGCATTTGGAGATAGGAACTGGCAACAGTGTGACAGGGTTTTTAACGGAACAGGGCCTATGTTGGTTTTTTTATGCTCAGCCGTTTGTGCTGAGGGAAGGCTACTAGTCTTGAGCGCAGCTCCTAGAGTCTCATCTGGACAAAAACCCGGTACCACAGTTCTAGTAGCTCAAACCGGAACTCGAAAGTGGGTGTGTATTGCGCAGTCTAGCCGAGCCGAGTTTTAGAAGTTGCCACTGTGAAACATAGTCCCTATCACGTGCGTATGTGCTTTTGGGCGAACTGTAGTACTTGTGACCTGCTTCTTCAATTGCATTAGTTTCCCGCTGTCTCCTGTTTTGCGTGGTCTTTTTCGCCTTGCTGTAGCTGCCGTTAGATTTGAATACATTTTACAAAAATCGATTCTTAGTCCGATTTTTGACATCGGCTTATACTTTGGTCGATGCTGGAGAAGCCGCAAATTGGACCCGTTCATGAATCGGCTGTTGGGGAAAGGGGGGGGGGGGGGGGGGGGGGGGGGGGGGGGGGG